ACACACACACACACACACACACACACACACAGTAAGATAAATGTTGACCGGAAATGTTATACAGGTACTGTAATTTTTAATATTATCTTTGTTTTTTAAGTTCGTTTATTCGTACTTGTTGTAGTTGATAATTTATTGTACATTGGTTAAGTAGAGCTGATATGTAAACACCATTGGAGCAGATATCAACCCTAGGTAGATCTTCTTCAGTTCATCTTAATTCACACTTTAAACATATTGTGTTGTCTAATGGTAGACCCTGCTGCCATATGGCATCACGAAAACCAGGTCCAAGTCCCAGGTTGCTCATCTGACTTCCTGCCTCATTTGTACACAATTGCAGGGTCTCAGCGGTCTCTCTTACTATTGACAACACAACACACATACTGTATAGCGTTTCTCACTCTTGATTTATTTTGTATTATTATTATTATTATTATTAGTTTTATTGTTATCATTTTGTTATTAATTTTTAATAATAATAATAATAATAATAATAATAATAATAATAGTTATTATTATTATTAAATTTTCGTCCTCCAGTCCATGATGTGGGTCAATGACCTGTGCCCAGGTGGGCTAATCCCCGCAAAAAAGGGGGGAGGGGGAGGGGGGAGTATATCATTATGTAAATGCATAAAATTTTGATTCATTCCACATACTTCTGTCACGTCAACAAATATTTCACATCATACACCAACAACTTGTGGGAAATATATACACAAAAATAGAATATGGCTGACAGTTGTTATGCGTGTACAAGAGACCGTGTGTAATTATATAGGTATTTTAGTTTGTCAATAGAGATGAATAAATCTAAATCTTGAAATTGTAAAGAATACGAACTTTTATTGTCTTGCGAGACATACTGTATAAATATGAAACTTGTATAACTGCTGTAGAAACCTATGTATATTAATTGTATTTATTCTCATATTGTAAATAGAAATAAAATAGTGAACTTGTTGATACAGCAGAAAAAAACAGAAAATACAAGACTGAGAAATAAACGAACTGATAAATAAACACGCTTCTTCTCTCTCAATGGTCGATCATTCCGAGCCAATTCTCGATGTTAGAATAAAACTAAAAACAAAATCACTGTTTTGAAATTGAGAAAAAATAGCATAATTATCATGACGTCAGCTAAAAAAAGACGCAACATTATATAACTCTAAAAATAATAAAAATGTTAAATGAGTTAACTTTTTCTTTGTCGTTTCTATAAATAAAATATAGTTACACTCTTGCGTTGGGTGAAATATTTGGACTGATTTACCTCTCTGTCAATTGCTGTCTGTGTGTGTGTGTATTTATATATCTGTCTACTTAGTTATTTCTCTATTGTATCTACCTGTCTACTTATCCATATGCCTGTTTAAGGGACCGTTTTAGGGTAACTGCCAGAATTAGGGTCAGTTTTAAGGCAGCTGTTAGTCTCTCAGGGTTCCCCCAAACGAGTCGCCCCAAATTCTCTCAAGATTAGATTAGACTACCAAAGAGGGGGCTAGTTTATTGTGCATCTCAAGAGAAAGGAAATTCGTGTGAAGGCCGGTTAAGGGTCAAAGGTCACGGGGACTCAACCTGTCATCTGGGTCAACACTTCTCCACTGTGCAACCCGGAAACCTTTGACCTCCCCCCCCCTCCCCCTCCACCTCCTCCCTCCGGTTATTTCCCGGTTGTAATCAAGCTTGGTGGTGACATATGCCCCTCTGGCTTCTGGTGTTGGTAAGAAGTGCAATACCTGTACTTAAGTGGATGTTAACAGAGAATATACACGGTTATACACTACATATATACACGGTTATACACTACATATATACACGGTTATACACTACATATATACGCGGTTATACACTACATATATACACGGTTATACACTACATATATACACGGTTATACACTACATACATACACGGTTATTTACAACATACACGTTCACACACACACACACACACACTAGCCAAGAACACTCAGGTACACATAACTTCACACAGAAACAAAAGTCAGGTCTTAAAACATGCATCCCCTACAGGTAACCTTGCATAACGACCCAAATAACTGTCACACATGAATTACATAACGTTGTTGACATATATTACTGTAATGCAACAAGTGTAAGCTGGTGTATTTGTGTGGTGAACGCGTAAAATTTATCACACAGAGGATATTAACTTTGTATTAATCTATACTTAAAACAACACATCATTAACTGTTGTCTGTTCTGTATGTATGTATGTGAGGTGGTACGTGTGTGTGTGTGTGTACTTGAGCACGTACACACAGAAAAACACACACATCAAACACATACCTACACACACAAATCAAACACGTACCATCTCACATACACACACACACACACGGGGACACGTAATAATCAGTGTCACAGAACCAGTCAGTGACACACACACACACACACACTGACTGGCCGCCCTCTGACTGTTTTCTCTCACCAAGATCACTCGCCAAGATCACTCACCAAGATCACGTATGGAAGCCTTCCCCCCTGAAGTGTTATCATAGAAATATTCTTTATATTGATACGAGGAAACAGTTATAAGGTTGTCAGTTCTCTCTCTCTCTCTCTCTCTCTCTCTCTCTCTCTCTCTCTCTCTCTCTCAGTTGTTGAAATACAGTAATACCTTTTATCATTAACTTTATGGAGCATTATATAACATTAATGTACACAGCAAAGCAATTACATTATCTAAACATGACACTTGTTTTAGGTGTGTGTGTGTGTGTGTGTGTGTGTGTGTGTGTGTTTGTGTTTGTGTTACTTAGCCGTTCAAGTGGTCAGTCTGTTCTGTGATGTTTGGTTAGGTTAGGTTAGGAAAGGCTAGGTTAAATTAGATTAGGTTAGGAAAGGCTAGGTTAAATTAGGTTAGGTTAGGAAAGGCTAGGTTAAATTAGGTTAGGTTAGGAAAGGCTAGGTTAAATTAGGTTAGGTTAGGAAAGGCTAGGTTAAATTAGGTTAAGTTAGGAAAGGCTAGGTTAAAAGGCTAGGTTAAATTAGGTTAGGTTAGGAAAGGCTAGGTTAAATTAGGTTAGGTTAGGTTAGGTTAGGTTAAATTAGGTTAGGTTAGGAAAGGCTAGGTTAAATTAGGTTAGGTTAGGTTAGGTTAGGTTAAATTAGGTTAGGTTAGGAAAGGCTAGGTTAAATTAGGTTAGGTTAGGTTAGGTTAGGTTAGGTTAAATTAGGTTAGGTTAGGAAAGGCTAGGTTAAATTAGGTTAGGTTAATATTACTCTGTAGTTCCCTGTACCTGGAACTTTCACTAAATCAATTTCTAGTGGAAAAAGATTAACGTTTGGTGAAAGCAGCGGGCGATGATTAGTTGGGTTCTTCACTACCAAGGCCCACAAACACGTCCGCCTTGGTCAAACGTGAGGGAATAGTGTGATGTCTCGCCCTCCTTATTATTAGTGATTCCAATAACAATAACATCTACTGGGTCACTTCATCCCTTTGAGATGTATTAATGTTTTTTTTTGTATCTCAATAAACGTATCAATCAATCAATCAATAACATCTACAAGTTTTAAAAGATCTTCTCTTGATGTTGAAGTTTAGATCTGAATAAAATAATGATAATAACAACAACTATAATAAACACAATAAAAACAACTACAAGAAAAATAACAATAATAACAACTATAACAACCAAACAAAAATAACAAGAAAATAACAACGCAAACTAGAAAAAACATCAATAATAACAAAACCACCATACTATTTAACCTAACTAATTTATAGATAATAATTAAATATATATATATGCTGTAAATATTATCTGTATTCATTTTTTTTATACATTATCTCATCATCTCGATTTTATTTCCGGGTTTCTCCAAAAATTCGTAACCGGAAGAGAATAGTTAAGCTCTGAGGTGTCTGGTCCATGGCGCCAGTGTTCTTGTGCACACCGCTGACGACTCCCGTGCTAGCTTACTGTAGCACCTGCTGACTCACCGCTGCTGACTGTACTGCTGACGGGACGTGTGTGTGTGTGTGTGTGTACGTAGAGGAATGTCTGTGTGTATGAGTGGAGGTGTGTATGTATGCGTGGAAGGTGTGTGTGTGTGTGTGTATGGTGGAGGTGTTTGGTGTGTATTATGTGCGTAAAAGAATGTGTGTATGAGTGGAGGTGTGTGTGTGTGTGTGTATGGTGGAGGTTGCGTGTGTGTGTGTGTGTGTGTGTCAGTCACAGCAATCACACACATCAGCCACACGATCAGACGATGAGACAGCCAGGTACCGCAAGATTGGCCCTGTCAGGTGATACCGTCCAGGTGTATCGTGGAGTGATATCGTCTCCAGGTGTAATGCAGAGTAAAATAGTCAAGGTGTGAAGTAACCAAACCTAACCTAACCTAACCTAACCTAACCTAACTTAACCTAACCTAACCTAACCTAACCTAACTTCACTTTGTTGTAGATAATAATTCGTTATTCATTACTGTTAGGTAGTCGTAATTATAGTTGTCAAATTATTGGTAATTATTAATAACTTCAATAATTGTTTTACCTGTAGTTTTAATTAGTTTTAGTACGTTATTATAGTTATTTTACATAGAGGTAAGTTATTGTTTCAGATGATATTAATTGAGCTCCTTGTGCCTGTGTTAGTTGGCGCTATTAACATTATTATATTTGGGTTCATATACAGGCATTTGCTATTGTTTCTCTTACAAATAGTCATAATTAAGTTCTTTTGTTAGTGAATTTTGTTATTTTGTCATTGTTATTGTTTTAGGTATTCTTAATTACGTTTTTGTTCATGTATTTTTATGTTTAATTATTACACTACGTTAGTTATAATACTGCTATTGTTTTTTTTTGTATTTACTATTGTTCAGCTATAAATACTATTCATTATATTCTTTGTTCGTGATTTTTTGGTTTATGTTTCTACGTGTTATCACCCTGTGTATGTCCGTGTTTTTTTTGTTGTGTTTTTTTGTGCATGTTACTTATTCTTGCGTTTTGTTCACCTTCAGGCGCTGGGGTCCTGCTTCCGGGGGCTGGAGGTGGAAGCTTGGCCCAAACCCAGTCTCGCCCAGCTCCCCTCCTCCTCCTGGGCCAGCATCAAGGCCAGTGTGGACAAGATTCCCTGGCCTGCATGGGGGGACGTCAAGGTGAGTGACTTAACCTCTCTTAGATTATTTTTTTTTTTAACTTAAGCGCGTCAAGAGGCTTAGTTAGTATGGCATTAATTTTGGGGCACATATATACACACACACAGAAAATACACTTAAACATACAGGCCCTTGCATACACATAAACACATACACTACAGCAACACATACACACGCTAGCATACTCAAAGACATCACGCTCGCATACACGCATAAACACGCGCGCATACACACATACACACACACAGGCATCAAAAAACAATATCATGCCACTTTCAAACCACAAAACTCTTGAAACAATCTGCCAGTGAATGTTGTGACAGCACCGAATGTGAGTTTATTTGAGACCACACTTGACCAAACACTGGCACACGGTCAGGTAACAGAGGCATAACCGACCGCCTAAGTAGCTAACAGGTCGATCAGTGGCGAAGAAAATAAATTATTAACAAAAAAATAATAATATCGATGCCTCTAGTACAAAAAAATAGCTTGAAGGAAAATAAATTAATACAAAAATCAAAGGGAGTTTCAAAGGTGTCAAAATCAAAATCTAATGTAAAATGAATAGTCAAATCTATATCAAAAGGAATGTCGTTTCTAAATCAAAATCGAATGTTGCAGGAGAGAGTAAGGCCGGACTGGGGGTCTATTAAGAGTGCCACCAAGATCCCAGCCTGGTCAGATATACCCAAACCCAGACTCGACTCCATCAAGCGGCCTTCTGTAGATGGGTTCAGGTAAGTGGCATCAAGTGGCATTTTGTGTGGGTTCAGGTAGGTGGGGGTTAGTGGCACTGTATGTGGGTTCAGGTAAGTGGCATCAAGTGGCATTTTGTGTGGGTTCAGGTAGATGGGGGTTAGTGGCACTGTATGTGGGTTCAGGTAAGTGGCATCAAGTGGCATTTTGTGTGGGTTCAGGTAGGTGGGGGTTAGTGGCACTGTATGTGGGTTCAGGTAAGTGGCATCAAGTGGCATTTTGTGTGGGTTCAGGTAGGTGGGGGTTAGTGGCACTGTATGTGGGTTCAGGTAAGTGGCATTAAGTGGCACTATTGGTTTAGATAGGTGGTGGCAGCTGGTTATGTACACTGATTTATGAGGACGAGTGAATACAGCACTTGTTCCTTGTCCTATGGAACACTGGTCAACACCCACACCCCCAATACACCAGCTGTGAAGGGGTGACTGACTTTACTGATGGGGATTCAAAAACTGTCAAGTACAGTTCCAGCCACATTATCTTCTTATGTATAAAGAAAAGGGACCATGGGATCTCCCTTCACATTCAGTTATTCATATTTTTGTACTCTGATAGGAAGCTAGTGTTATTGAGGCGTAATATGTACCTTGTAATGATTGTTATTCCTGCCTTAATAATCAAAATAAAAGGTCATTTGTAAATTAATTATATAAATACACTAAGTAATGATAACGTGTTACACCATTGTTGTTTTGTCCAATCTCATTATAATTAAGAAATAAAATATATCGGGAAAAAAATAAGTTTACAGTGATGATCTTTCTTACAGGTCAAGCCTCTGTGACCTCCGTGAGAATTTCAACGACAGGGTGACCTCATTTAGTGACCGCGTGTCATCAGTAGAGTGGCCCCAGGTGAACGGTCGTGTAGGTGACCGCTACGGGCAACGGTCACGGTCAGAGTCGAGAACACGGACAAGGAGTCGAGTGATGAAGAGAGGCAAGATGCGGCGAGCAGAGTGGTACTCGTCTTGTTTCTGCTTTGTAAGTTATCATGGAGAGTAGTACTGCTTCATCATCTATCTTCCCACCGCTTATAAGCTCACTAGCCGTTCGGGAGGTTAGATTGTCATTAGCGTGATTAATCTCGAGGTGAAATAAACTAGGGTGGAGATTCTTCAGGTAAATCAGGAAAAAAAATTGCCACATTTAATAAAAGCAGTAAAATTGTCATACAGGTTTGCAATACGGTAGATATGTACAGTATATATAAACTGTGCAGGTATATTGTTCAGCATGAGTTAAGACACTGTAGGTATATGCTAACAATTTAGTTAAGAATATCCCTAAGAAATATCAAGGTTAACAATATATGTAGTACAATTGTAGCATTTTATATGACTTGCTCAGCCAATAGTAGCAATATCATAAAGGATATCGATCTTTTTATACAAGATAATGGCACCGATATAAAACAATTAAAAAAAGTTAATTAGTTAAGGAGCCATACTCTGCTTAACATTTGCCATTGTATCCCATGCAAATTAAAACTTTAAAAAATATGTAGTATTTATTACTTCTATTACTATTCTACAAATAGTGGAGGAATTTCTTATTTTCAATAGTAAAAGAATGACAGGTGGTTGTGAGGTGGCGTGAGTGGCAGTTCATTGTATTATAGAGCAGTAGGACTTGACTACCCTCACACACACATTGCCGGTGGCTGTCTGGCTGACCTTGATCTTTGTGATAAAAGGGAAATTACTGACAACTGCTCTTTGACAAGGTGATTCATCTGGTAATATAAATACCTTTAGTCCATTGATTCATGTCATCATTATTTACTTAATTTATCCACTAATTCTTCTTCCTCTGTTACATGTTGTCACCAGATAGTACTGTACTGAACTGGGGCCCTGGTGTATATGGGGTTTTCAGTATCTTGACATTATTGTGGAAATATTAACAGTGAATTTCCATTAATCTTGTGTGTGTGGGTGTGTTCTGTACAGGATGTGTGGGAGACTTAACAAAACAACTCGATACATTATATTTATTGCCTGCCTCCCGCTCTTCTGTACTGCCTTTACTGTGAGCATTAGAATGTTTGCTTGGGTTTTCTGTAATTGTTGTTTGTTAATGTTATTACTGTATTATTATGCATTTAGTGTAGCTGGAATTTTTCTGGGTACTGTAATGGGAAAAATTTCTGAGTATTTCATCCATGGAATTTGCTCCTACACTCGGAAAAAAATACTATTGGAGAGAGTTTTCAGAATTTTCCTCAATTGCACATTGTTTTATAGTCGGAATTTGCTCCCAATCTAAAAAAAAAATGAATTTCCGAGTTCATTTCAATTTCATGTATTGAAGAGTTCTGGCTAAGGGAGATATTACTTGTACAGTATATATTAGTGGTAAATTAGGGAGGTTTTTCAAAGAATTTTCAGTAGTTTCCTCACCTGGGATACTTTCTTTCCTCCCTCACCTCTCATTCTGTTTCCCTCTCTCGTGCATATCTTCATTTCTCTTCCTTCCATTTCCTCTTTTTCATCCTCACCCTGCCATTGTATTTCCTCTCCTTCCTTCCTTTTCTCCTTATTGCTCTCTTTATGTCTTTCTTCCTTCTTTCCTTCCATCTCTGCTCCTTCCCTGTCTTCACATAATTAAGCTTCCACCTGGATATTTCAGTGTAAAAATTCCTCCCTTACCACAGGAACTACCATATTATCTGACGATTCATAAATTTAGTTAGATTAGGTTTGTTCCCATTAGATTAAGTTAGGTTAGGTTAGGTTAGATTAGATTAGATTAGATTAGGTTAGATTAGATTAGATTAGATTTGATTTGATTTGATTTGATTTGGTTAGGTTAGGTTATGTTCCACCTTCGAACCAATGAACTCTCTGAACATGGACCTGTAAATCATCATCTTGACATTTACACTCAATAATGTTGGAATTTTTTTACCAATTTGATTAAACATCTTTTTTAAAGGCTTGTCTCTCAAGTGATGGAAGTGCTATGGTATTACTGTACTATATAGCTGTAGGTGCTGGGTATTGATGTTGATACCCGGATGTTTCCAAATACCTGTAATGTGACGAACCTACGGCTAATTAGTTTCCTGCTGGGGAGATGAGCACCTGACAAAGCTTGCAATGTGGGTCAGTTCGAGAATTTCCTAGTCTGGGTGACCTTGGAGGGGCGGAAGTCATCCTGCATGATTTATCTTGCTGTTCGTGTCTGGGTCGCCTACACTTGGTTGACCTTCTTGCGGTGATGGGAAACTCATGTACACCTTTATATTTAGCGTATTAAGGCCTCCTATGTTTTTCTCGTTCGTGTCTCCGCCCTGTGGTTGACATTTTTCTGAAGGTGAAAAATCAAGGACTGTTCACCTTTATGTTCAATCTAGGGACAAACTGCACTGTACTAAGGCCACCTGTACCTGTATTTCTTGATGTCGTAAAGCTGTATTTATGATGGAATAAATTCATGATGTGTTGGCAATATTGTACAGGTATATCGGTGTTACCATCCAAAAGTATCTTGGTTGATTCATACCAGGTTTATCCATCAGTGTAGACATAAGCCTCCAGGATTTTATAATGTATTTGTAGTGTCTGATGGCTTGTCTTGTGGAGAGCATGAGTAAGCCATTTAATTCCTTTTCAGTGATTTCTATTAATACTCACTGGATAATTAAGTTGTTCCAGGTCATTTTTTTTAGAACATTTTAAGTTCTAGGTAAATAACTTTAATCATCTGAAATAAAGGAATTTTAACTTTCATTTTGTGTAAGTTAAGTAATGATCTATCACTGCTCCCTGTAGGTCACTGAGCTTGACAAAAATAGCCTCTGGTGCACCATTATATGAACAGTGAAATGGTACCTATGATTTCTGTGAGCTCCAGTTGGTTGAATCTCTTAGTATAAAATCATGTTGTACAAATATGTTTTCTTGAAGCTGTTAAGACTGTACATACACATACTACAGAAATATAGGTTTGCACATTAGCTGAAGTCTGGGAAGAAAATGAACCAAGATGATGTACAGAATTGTTAAAGTTTAGCTGTATTGTTATGTAAGGATTTCCAGGCAATGGTTTTTTTTTTAGACATTAGTAAATAGCCAACTATACCTGGCATCACCATCTTGGGTATGTTAGTGTAATATTTCCAGACTACTCATTGTATTTTTTTTTTTAAGAATGTGTAAATAAAACAAGTTTGGTTTTATGAATATGGTACAGGGGGGCATGTGAACATTCTACCCTTGAGGTTGAATGTTGGTTTATGGCTTTGCATTTATTTCAGTCATTTCAGTGTAGAAATATTAATCATTGTTACTTAAAGGGATTACAGACTCTTGGGTGAGGAGCCTCGGTGTTCATTCTCTCTCTCTTGCAGAAGGGCTCGGAGCCTCCGCAGATCGAGCATGTTGTGTCGGAACAGCCACAGATGGTACAGATGGCTCCGCCGCCTAACATGACGGATAATCTGGCGCCGGAGGAACTTCAAACTAAAGTCACAGAATTACTGGTGAGATTATTGTTAAGTTTTGTTTATATTTGGTGAGATACTTGTTCATGTTATCTTAGGTGAGAGAACAGAGGCTGCAGTAAAATTCTGATACAGTATTACAGAACAAGAGAAGGCTAATGTGTAATACAGTACAGTACAGTATATACAATTTCAAATGAATCTCACAAAATTCATATTGTTCTATTGTGCATTTGGTAACTCATTCCTTGCACATTGAATGTTGTTGATCAAACAGTAGGCCTATCTTAAATAAGTATATTAAACAGTAATCCTATATTAAACAGTAGGCCTATGTACTATATTAAACAATAGGCCTATATTAAACAGTAGGCCTATATTAAACAATAGGCCTATATTAAACAGTAGGCCTATATTAAACAATAGGTCTATATTAAACAGTAGGCCTATGTGCTATATTAAACATTAGGCCTATATTAAACAGTAGGCCTATATTAAACAGTAGGCCTATATTAAACAATAGGACTATATTAAACAATAGGCCCATATTAAACAGTAGGCCTATATTAAACAGTAGGCCTATATTAAACAATAGGACTATATTAAACAATAGGCCCATATTAAACAGTTGGTCTATATTAAACAATAGGCCCATATTAAACAGTTGGTCTATATCAAACAGCTGGCCTATATTAAACAGTAGGCCTATATTAAACAGTAGGCCTTTATTAAACAGTAGGCCTATATTAAACAATAGGCCTATATTAAACAGTAGTTCTAACCAGTATTAAACACTTTCCTAGACAGACAATAAAATGGAAAACCTTATTATTTCCTCAGTACTCTAGAACACTGAGTATGTCTACATGATTAGACTCCCTCATTGTCTGTCTCAACTCCTGAAGCAGTGGCAAAACCTCCTAAAAATGGAAGTCTCGTGGACATACGGTATACATAATCAGATTCCTATATCATTACCTAAAAATTACTAGTGAATGGACGAAAGAGTAGTGATATAATGCTTGGAATACAGTACAGTACAGTAATAAGTAGAGTGAATGTACTCGACTTGTATTATTGAGGAACAGGACTGAGCACACATGGTCCCATTCACTGTATGCTAGAGATATGCAGGTACAGACACTTGAGAATCTAATTTACATGATGCATTGAGGAATTTATACAATATCCACATTCTGTAGATTCATGGATTCAAAACAACTTTCTGCTGACAGGAAGGTTCGAACTATATCAGGCTATCAGTGCATAGAGTGAGACATGAAGGTACAGGTATTACCACTAATTTGCCAATAGGTCAGTGGTAATGTCTTTATGTTTCACACTGTGGGTTGATGGTCTGGTTCTTGATGGTAATGGAAAGTTGTAGGTACTGTATATAATGTTGTCACAATTCAGTGTATCAGTTTTGAAATACAATTAAAATAGCGAGTTTAAAAAATTATGATGTTGGCGATGATGATGATGATGATACAGTAATTGTAACGATGATCATGATGATTCAACAGATTAAATGGCTTGTGTGATTTGTGATTATGAAGACTGGTTGTGATGGATAATTCTTAATCATTTCGTGGACACTTGAGCAGAGAGGTCCATTTGCATAGTTTAAACACAGAAGCATTGGTCTGGAACTGGTTCATGTGTGGGTAATGTTCGTTGACCTCAGAAAGTCTTAAATTATTCATTGCAGTAAATCATAGAATAAATATTATCTTGTCTTCTGTTCTTGAGTTCATCAGCAGTAGACAGTTTCACAATCTTGTCCAATGGCAGATTACTCAACAAGGTGATCTGTACAATTACCTTGAAAAGTTCTTAAGCATTGAATGAGATCTTTAGTTATTTTGTCATTACTTCACCAAAAAATTATGATCTAGTTAAGCTTCAGATAGTCAGATTATCATTATTTTTCTTATGGGGAAAGGTGGGTCTTAGGAACTTCTTGCATGGACATTATGATATGATATTTGTGAGTAGGAAAGATATAGGTCATGACTCACAGTTCGTCAAGTATTGCATTACCATTTCTATTCAACCAGTGAGGTGGAAAGCATTCACAAGTCCTCCCATTGTTATACTGTAGACTGAACACTTGTCAACTGTTTTGCCCTCCATGACACATAAGTTAGGATATCTTGTGTGTATAAGTTCAGTATTTTAAAGTATTATACCCTGTTGGTTGGCATTATTATACAGTAGGGATGATGTACAGTAATTCTATAGTTTGAGAGAGAAAGATTTGACACTCCAGTTCATATCAAGCCAAAGTTTGTGAGGTAAACAGTAGAGATCTTTATTAAGCTCTTACCATATTCCTGAGCTTTACTTGAATTGTATAAAGCTTCTGTGGTTGTTGTCATGATATGTCAGTGTACCAGTCAACCTGTAGAATTTATAAATTAACCTGTATTGCTGTACTGTATTAGTAAATGTTTGTTGATGCTACTGTAATCACTTATAAATACTGAATGAATATAAGAAAAATGTATTGTTTAATACTGTACAGTGTAGACAGTTTTATATAAGCTGTACACAGTGTAACAGCTGCATATTATACTGTGCAGCAAGACGTGTGGGATCTTAGATAACATAGGTTTTGTTCCCATGTGTAATTTACATATAGAAATTTCGTACTTTATATGTTATTGATAAGCGTCATAATTATTTACCATTTGTTATTACAGTCTTACCAGTGTGTATGAATCAGTCCCATATTTTACGATGGAAATTTTTTTTATTTCCTCTGAGGTGGATGTGATTCAGTTTTAATAGTTACCTTAAAGTAAATCCTTCCAGCCACACTGATGATAATGTTTATCCCACCAGGATGAACTGGACTTGACTGCCATACAGAAAAATGGGATTCTCAACTTCCCCCCAGAGAAGCAACTACAGCTTCTCTATGACTACTACACACTCCAGTCCTCCAACAAGGTGACTACTTTAACTTGCTCTTCTGTCATCAATATTACAATGGTGGTATATTATTTTTTCAGTCTTGCAAGCATCTTCCTTCTGTGCCTCAAGCTGGCCAGGATCAGACTCATAATTCAGTAAATGTAGTATCAATTGTGTTCTGGTTTGTAGTGATTCTCTGCCATAATGCATCATAGTTAGACAATGAATTACTGTATTGTCATCTTCTCACTTCCAGAAAATCGAGCGTCCAGAAGCATACATTGCCAAGCTGGACGAGTACTCACAGCTGACAGTGCCCACGGACCAGTACCAGCAGCACTCATGGCTCAAGTACACGGAGGGCCTCAAGACGGCGCTGGCCACACAAAGCAACACCTTCGTCAATGAGTTCATGGAGGCGGGGGGACTGGCATCCCTACTACAGTTCCTGACCAAGATGGATGACACGACATTCCAGTCTAGCATCCACATGAATGTGATAGCCTGTGTTAAGGCATTAATGAATAATTCAGTAAGTGTACAGTATTAAACCTTTTATTCCAACATTAAGAGAGGTATAAAATTTTTGCTGCAGTGTCCCATAAAAGCTCTGTATATCCCTCAAAGATAAATATGTTCCTATTATGTACAGTATTAGTTGATCTTTATTCTTGATGCAGATATAATTAATGTAGTACAGTTTGTGTTATTCATATCTAGGTTAAGGCACCATCTTGATATTCATAAAGAAGTCAGAGAGTAGACAGCCAAATTATAGGTTAAGGCATCACTTTATGGTAATGCCACCTGCTTGAAGTTACCTTACCAATATTAATCTTTCTGATATGTTTTGAAATTACACTGTTCAAGTTACTCTACTTAACTTATACATTTCATTGTCAGCAGTTAGAATACTGTACTATAATCTTGTATGATCTTCATCTAGAATGGACGAAAACACATCCTGGCTCACCCCACCTGTATGAATGTGATCTCCCAAAGTCTGAGTACAGAGAACCTCAAGACTAAGACGATGGTTCTAGAGATTCTTGGAGGTGTTTGTCTACTGCCCGGGGGACACAAGAAGGTTTTGGAGGCGATGCTTCACTTTCAAAAATTCGCTGGGGAGAGAACTAGATTTCAGGTGAGTCTGAAGTGTCCGTTTGTTGGTGTTTATGGTGATGTATTAGGTTAATCAGTAGAGTATAGTGATTAAAATACTGTCAATTACTGCAATATGTTTCTACAGTATAGTGATAATTTTATTTCTTGAATATAAGGAGGTATGTGATTTAATCTGTATTTCCACACTTCTGATTGGCTCTGATGTATATGTATTTCCATGCTTCTGATTGGTGCCTCTCATCCTCCTCGCCACAGACCCTCATCGTAGACCTGGACCGATCTTGGGGAAATTACGCAGACGAGTTATCCCTAAAGATCGCTCTCATGTCCTTCATCAACGCCATAATCCGCTGGGGACCCGGAGAAGATTCCCTCGAGTTTCGTCTACACCTTCGCTACGAGTTCCTTATGCTGGGCGTTCAACCTGTGATCGAAAAACTCCGGAGTCTGCAAAATGAAATCCTCGATAAGTGAGTACAACTGCTTCATATTTTTTCAGTGATGGATCTTAAGTTACTTGTAAAGGATTCCAACAACAGATTTTGACTCCCTCCTTATTTAAACAAACATTTAGATGGAAATTTTACGTTGTTGAATGATATAATTATACTGTATTTCTTTTTAGACTACAGTACAGTAATTTGACTTTCAAGAATAGATGTGAAAATATATAAAGATTCAGAATAGTGTATACCAGGTACTGCAAGATATACACATGCCTTCACTTCCCTTATCAGGTTGTAGATCCATTACTGTGTTTTAGTATATGTATGGTTTTTTTTTCTCGCGTGTCTACTGTTAACTGAGCAAGATTTTCAGTCCTTGGTTCTGTGTATGATGATGTCAACGATAATGATGATGATGATGATGGCAATGATAATTATGTAGCTCAGGATCCATATAGCTGAAATATTTAGCTTCCAGATAGCCAATAACTGTTTTAACTGGAGGTAATTGTTGATGATTAGTGTTTGTGTTGATATGACAGATCTCCAGACCAACAGATGAGGTATTGAAATTTTGTTTGGTTAATTGATACTAACAAAAGCTCATGACTGAAATTTTAACGAGTAGTCTATCAAAAGACTTTAGATAAATTAACTTGTTTGTGTAATTGTTTGACTCCAGATATCTGTGACAGACTATCTACGTACAGTATATAGTACAAGTCGCAAGGCATGGCTAATCAGGAGGGTATGAGTCGGTGAACAGACCTAGATTATATTTGAATGTAGAGTGATTTTACCTACCATAGTGTGAATTTGTTTTACATATTGGAAAAGTTGTTGTCATTCTAATAAGATTCATCCTTAATCCAGGGGAAGGAAGAAGGGTTAAATATCAATCATACTTGGGCAGAATCGAATAAAAATTGCAGCTGACTAAACTCTAAATTCTTAAGAGACTGCGATTTTTTTTTTTTTGCCAGGAAAGAGATTTAGGACACAGTATAGGGAGGGTAGATACTGAAGCTACATCCCAACTCTGCTTTAGATACTGTATTCTGATATTATTTGATATATAAAGGTGTATTTACGATATCATGTAAACCTTGCCATATGTTAAGACAGTAACCACATAATGTACGACACAACTGAGGGGGTCTTTGATGCACTGTACTGTATATGGTGGCAGAGGAAGTAGGCCATTAAACACACCATGTTGTATATGCCTCTGTCAGTCAGGTGGAAAAATCCCGTTTGTCTTGTTCTCTGAGATGTAAGAGAACTGGTTAGTGTGAGAAGGTGCATTCGAACGTGAACAAAAAGCCGAAAAGAATAAACAATTGGTAGAGAAGAATAACAAATGAGAGGAAGAATAACAAAAGATGAACACTGACAAAAGAAGAACAAAAACATGAACAGGGTGAACAAGAGGCTGAACATAGTTGAAGTCTGAACAGATAGACATTTATAGGGGTACAGTGTGAAGGGTGTGTATGATGAAGGATGTGTATGATGAAGGATGTGAAGGATGTGTAGGATGAAGGGTGTGCACAGTAGGCTGCATCAACAAGGCCCCATCACGGATCATTGCCTGCTCAACCGTCCAGAGGAAAACCATAAAATTTATTGGTTGTCTTTAGAGAGGGGGAAACCCACTCAACCCGTCAACCATCCGGGGGACTGGTAGATTCTGGGGTGGAGGTGGGGGGTGTAGTGTGTGTGGAGGTGGATGTGGATGTGGACTGTCTGGGGTTGGATGTGGTATTTCTGGGGTAGGTTTAGTCTATCTGGGGTTCGATTTTGCCTGCCTGGGGTAGATTTTCTGGAGTTTGGTGGTCCTGGTGTGTTCTGTATAAGTCTCCCCTCCTGCCGCCAGCGAGATAAGTTTTCTATAAATGTGATTCTTGGGGGAACTGTTATATAAAGTACATAGGATATTCCAGTTAGACCGAACAGAGGATGAGAAAGTTATGCTAGTGTTCGGGTTTTTGTAGTTTATTTATTTCTTCAGGTTATATGTTTTGAAATTTAACAGTTAATAGTGTAATATGTATAATCTAAAAAATAATAACTTACGTTTCTTATGATTAAATTTACATAGACAAAAATAGACATTTACTGTATAACATAGATCATTGTCGCTCTGTTTATGAGAGTCGATTGAAAATGATGAAGGTTCCGTGGTTGGCATAGTCCACTGTAAAAGGGCCACAACGCGTTCTGGCTGCTGGGCGCGGGGGAGAATGGACCTCCAACATTACACGTCTCCTGCCAGATGAAACCCTTACCGTTCACTTTATTGTTTTTATCCATCTGAAAAAATATATTAAAGGCTGTAATGAGCTTGTGTCGGTATCCATTGTGTGTTAGTGGAGTGAGGCAATTTGTTTTTGAACTTGTCTGGGTGATATTATACTTTTACCTCGTTTTGATAACATTTGGCCACACAGCTTAGATTGTAGAGGAATGATTTTGATAATGTTTAAAGATTTAATTTGTTCATTTTACGTTCTGCCATAGTTTTGACGACCCGTTGAATAATATACAATGGATATTCTGTTTAGGTTCTTTCATTTACTCGTAGCAACAGATTAATAATTACCACACCAACATTGTGATTATTAAGGAAAAGTTGAGTATAAATGTATTTTGTTATTATGACGCTTTTCTCATTGGTTAGCGAATCGGCCAATCAGGTGCAAGTTGTATGCCAATGGAGGAACGGTTTAATAGCGGAATCTCCATTAATTATGTTCTTATGTTAATTATGCGTTCTTAACTTTTTATGGGTCTATAAAGAAAATGTCAATCCACTTTACTTTGGGATTAGACTAGATGTTGATATGTAAAGAATAAACCTTAATATTGTTATCACTGACCATTGTAGTGTTAAGATTTTAATATTAGTGTTTATAATTCAGTGATTACTAGCGACACTGTCATTGTTATAGATTAATGAGTTTGCTTAGTTATATAGCCGTAGTTCAAAGGCAGTGCATGCGTCGTATCGTAATTGTCTTAATACTGGTCTGCTAAAATAAATGTAATTATTATATTAGTGGCATAAGACAAGTTCAAGGTCTTGTTTACTGCACGGAAGCAAGATAGTGTTAAAAAATAATACCAATATTAGCTGCGTTACCAAGAGCGTGGGAAAGAGACTAACTCTACAACCAGTTTTATAATAACTGGATTAGTATTTGAAAACATTATAGATTCAATCAGTGACTTTTTATTGTTGAAAATAAGGTTATGAATCTGATTTTGACAACCAGACAGTGTGCCACCATTGCGCTTTTGTTGTGGTTGTGACGAGGAACAATGTAATCAACTGAGAGTCTTAATTAACAGGTGATTCACAGGATGGTCGCACTGCATCACTACAAACAATACTGTACAATATTTTTTATTTTGTTAATTTAATTGTTCAACTACTACAGTTGTAATGAGATTATCAGATATGCTTTTAACTGGACGAGATGGGTCATATTGCAATATCAGACTGCCTTTGTCCTAGTTAGGTAAGGGGAGCTTATTTTCGCGATGATCCATTAGGTTGAGTATCCATCAAGTCATAAATATAATAGATATTTATTTTATATGTATATTGGAAAGTATTCTGTCGTCAGTTCGTGTTAAAAACCTGTAATAACATTATAGAGACCCCAGGAATGACACTCGGGGGATCAGAACCTATTTATTCATCCATTACCCAGAATAAATGAAGAACATTATAATGGAATCAGTTCCCATTCAGTCGTCCATTAAGAAGGTAAGATAAAGGAAGAACATTGGAGTGGAATCAGAATCAATTCAATCGTCCGTTAAATGTACAGTACTGGGAAAGTAAATAAAAAGTTACAATAGGATCCAAACCAACTCTGCCTTCTATCAAAACAAACCTGGAAGATGGGATCAAAACCCATTTAATAATCCATCACATCATCATAAAAGCAAACGCCACAATGGAATTTAAACTCATTAAAGCGACCATTAGATATGTAGGATAAAGGAACACCACTACAATGGGATCAGAAACGGTAAGAGAGACAGCCAGCACGCACAAAGGGAATCGGAAGCCAACATAAAAACAGCGGATCCTGTGTTGCATGTCCTGGGGGCGTTCCCGGCGTTTATACAAGTCAGTGATTACGCTCACCTCGGGGCCTAAGTCTCAGGGCGAAGGTGACGTTGTAGGTCGCCGAACATACTCTTGACGCACCCACTCACGCACCTACCACGCACTTGAAATAAAAATAAAGGGATAAATAAGTAGATAATGCAGGAAACCGGTTAAATTACAGAGCTAAAGAAACTAGAAAAAAAAATTGAACAAAAAAATGAATTACAAAACAATAGTCAATTTGCCTTCTCACACTTCCTTGACTCGCCAAGCATGAGAGAAAGGAATAAAGAAAAAGGTTACTTGAACTTTTTTTTTTCCCGCTGTGAACCACCAACTCTTCCTTAATCTCCGTGTACCTGACCCACTTTTCATCATCCCTTGTCCTCGGTGGCTTGTCAGAGGCCACCAAAACGGGGGCGTCCATATCGTGTCTTCCCCCTTGTCACTTGGTCTTACTGCCTGGAGTCTTCTGAACTAGTTTCTCTTTTTCAACGCCAGTAAGGAGGTGTATTCCCCCTCCCTCCCTCCCCCTCACTTGTTTTTGTGCAAGGTTGTCGTGCAGGTCACCCTTGTTGTATGACCCGGTTATGGGGTGCACTGAACCACGACGCGACTGGACGTGCTCAGCGGAGGCGACAGAGAGCCGACTCGAGGCCTGGCAGGGCTGTGATCGGCCCTGCTAGCTGACACTCAGACAAGTAACCAGTATTTTCTCACCTCGTGGTATATGTCTCTACTTGTGACTAGAATTACTGTCTTGATTCACCTGTTATAAAGTTCTGTAATGTTTGTATTTATTGTGGTTAATCTTCTAGTGAAATAACCTGGGGAGACGAATCTTTAGGTGAAATATGCTTGGGCGAATATTAGGGTGAAATATAAGCTGGGGAGGCGAATC